TAATATATAACTCAGGGAATTATTTTGAGAGGTAAGAAGCATATGTATTTAACAGGTTATCTTATATGATGCAGTTGTAGTTCTATTAGGCATTGTTATGGATTGTTATACTTATTGAACTGATGATTATTATCACTGATATTCTTTTTCTATCATCTTGAAGTTTGCTTATATTTAACCAGTATAGATGTTTCCCAATCTAGTAGAGGAAAGAAATTACAGAGTATTAATGTGGCAGGAATACTAAGCTTAAATGAGTAGACAGGTTTATGTTGTGTGGATACCAGCCAGGAATAATATCTGGAAAAAAAAAAAAATCTTTATCTTATTGGTCTTTACTTCTAGTTTTCTCTGTCATCTGTAGCAGTCTCATGTATTTTGAGTACATAAAATAAATACATTTTAATAGAAATACAAATAAAAGTATATTTAAAGTCTAACTTATACCTTATTTAATATATGAGAGTATATACAAGAAAGTTTATGTTCTTTTCTGACTTCATCTATTTTTTCCATTCAGAACTATGAGTACAATGACAGTTTCAAAAATGGAATTTGAATGCTCAGTTTGCCTATTTTCTGTTTTAAGAGGAACTGGCATAACTAGACATTATAGAGAGATCTGCTTTTAGAAATTTCCACTGTTATTAACAATTTTGAATATTTGTTGCCTGCCATTCATGGTGTTAATAACCTTTCTCATATTTTCTCATTGTTACAATTTGATTAAAATAGGTACCATTATTATTCACATTTTGCATAAAAATCAAATGCACAGAAAGGTTAAAAACTTGCTCAGTATCAACAATCTAGTATCTGACCCAGGTTACCTAAAACTCAGCAGTGTGATGCCAACTCCACATGCTTAAACAATGGGTTTCATAAATATTAAATAAGAAAGGATTTTTGAATTTAATGTCCTGCAAATAATAGTAAAGCTAGTAATAAACTCTTCACCACAGCAAGTTGTTTTAATACCAATTTTACATTTTCTTTAGTATATAAAAATGAGTTAGGGACTACATTTACAGTATATATATTTCAAGTTTAGGAGATTTGGCTCACAAGTGAATTTAGTCACAAGAAAGAAGTGTATATTGTAATCTTTTGATTCAAGTAAAAAATACACTACAATAAAATAGGCAGGAGTAAAATTATCGCTGCTTACCTTTTTCATATTATGGAGAAATCATGGTGTGGTCTTTTATAGAGTGTTATATCATATAAATCTCTGGTTTTAATTATTGAGTAATAAATTCAACTACTATGATTTTTCCTTGAACTCCTATTCTCTAAATCAACAGTTCACCTCAGGTAGGAAACAGTGGGGACATTATTGCTTCAAAACTTGTTTTAAGCTCAATAATCTGATGGTAATTAGGAGATAGCCAAGACTGGCTGGCTGGCTTAGATGCAGTGAAGGTTCTGTCTGTGGGGAAAAGGAGCATTAGCCCCTGGCCAATCCTCTGTCCCTGGCTCCCCACCTTCTCATCTCTGTGGATTAGAGCAAGTCTCTATGTGGAGAGGCTAAAGAAGTTGTTCCTAGTGCTAACACTAGACTAGATCTATGTATGAAATCTGAGGATACTAAAATCAAATGATTGAACATCATGACTTTCCCACAAAGAATATACCCTGGAAAGTCTTTGGAGTTCATATGGCCTCTCATGTGCTGTTTAGGTCTTTTGATCACATGAAGATTTTATCTTTATTTACATATATCACTTTTGCATATTCATTACTACTACAAAAATGAAAGATGGACTACATTTACATATATATTTCAAGTTCAGAAGATTTAGCTCAAAAATGAACTTGATCACAAGGGAAGGAAGTGTGTACTTTTAATCTTTGATTCTTGAGTTAAAAATACACTATAAGAAAACTGCATGAGTAAAATTTATTAAGAACGCAAATAATTTGCACAAGAGGATGTAGTACACCTAGTCTCCAGTTATCTGAGTCAAGAAGGCATGGATGGAAAATGACCTTATGAGAGTTTTGAAACTAATAGGAAAGACAAAGTAGAGTTAGTTTTACTGCTGCTATGGATCTTTAGTAAACTTTATAAAAAGAAGAGAAATGTTTGGATTGAATAGAAAGAATGGAAAATGCCAGTGTTTAATAGATATCATTAGAGTTATATTTCTAAAATGTGATTAAAGCAACTTGCAAGAGGATAATATAATATAGTAATATATCAAAATGGATTTTATTTCATATTCAAATGTTCTGTTTTATTTTGGTTTTTGGTTGCTGGCATGTTTCCCTTGCACTCTGAGGTGTGGTCTTTTCCCATCAGGACACTTCAGTCTCCTCCCTATTTCTGGTGGTGTGCCCTCCCCTGCTCCACCCTCCTTGTGCCCCCTGTCACTTTCCCTCCCTGATTCTGATCACATTCTGAGCCCTTAGGGTGCTTATTGATTTCCACTGATTTTTATTTTGTTTAATATTTTGCTTTACCAAATTGTCTCCAATTTAAATGTCCAGTCTTTGTTAATTTATCATTTACTTACTCTGCTACATGTTATGCTCCCCAGTTACCTTCATTTGGTGTTAGTATTCAGCAGGCATATTGGGTTTGTCGTATTCTTTTGGGAGGTCCTCACTGCTTTTAGTGATTGAGTAATGCCATCACAGAATGTTTTGGGGAGCATTCCATCTACATCTGTTTTGGGGAGCAGGTACACTGAACGTGTAGCACTCACTAGTAATTCCATCCGGTCCTGGACTTCTGTTTTTATGAAATTTTTGATGATGCTTACAACTGTTTTGCTTGTAATCGGTCTATTCAAGTTTTCAATTTCTTCCTAATTAAGCCTCACAAGGTCATATTCTTTCAGTACTTTCCACAATTTTCCAATTTGTTGGCAAAGAGATGTGCACTGTAACCTCATGATGCTTTGTATTTCTGAACTATCCTTTTGTAATTCTTTTATTAATGATTCTATTGGTTAGAATTTTCTCTTACCCATTAGGGGACTAAAAATGCAGAAAATGTAAAAGACAAATGATGTGGGAAAACCTAGATGAATAGGGATTTTTAAATCTTACAACTTATATATATATATATATATATATATATATATAAGTTTAACTTTCTTGATCCTACACCTATTCTTTTGTCAGCAAGTATTATCAAATTTTAAACACAAAAGTCTGGTATTAGGGGTAGGTAGAAGATATCAAGGCTGCCTCAGGATGGACTAGTGATTCATGGAAGCTTCATTCTCTGGGAGAATAGGGATGAGAGGCATTAGCCCCTGACCACTCTTCTGTCCCTTTCTCCCCAATCTCTCCATCCCTGGGGACTGGAGATAGTCCCCAATTGGGAAATGCTGCAGGAGACATTCACAGTCTCAATGTTAGACTATATGTATGAAATCTGTCAATGCCAATTTTCAAATTATTAGAACCAATTTATTTACTTCAATAAATTAAACTGGGTAGGTCCCCAAAACTTAGGTGTAACCTAATTTGTTGTAAAGGGCAATATTCATCAGAGAAATAACATATCCTTAGTTTCAGGGGCTGATATAAGAAATGTATATGAATTTGGACAAGTGAATATAGTACACTGGGTCTGGAATCTTCTCTATAAAAATTACATTATGAGAAAATAGTGAAATGGAGGAACATACTACTCACTAAATGTTATTAAATGTATAATGCAGCTTTTTTTGGACTGAAGCGGATCTTAGTGACTCAGACATGAATATTAAGGTTCTCAAAAGCATGACATCTTTAAAATTCATGTGTGAGTATTATTTACATCAAATATGGAATGTTGGAACAAATCAATATTGAATATCTCATTTTATGAGTATAATATGAACTTACCTGGCTTAACTTTTGGGAGTAAATATACCATGTACACATTATTGAAGGTAAAAGTAAAAGCTAAGAAATAGGAATATTTTTTTTGAAATTATACTTATATTTGGATAAAACAGTGAACATATCTTTTTAAAATATTTTTTTTAATGTTATTACTTTAGTTCTGGCTCAGGTCATGTTAGTTATATAATGGATTAAAACAAAAATAATTAAACTTGTGATATTAGTCATCCTTTCAGTCTAATGCATTTAATCAGAAGTCTGTTATCTTACAGAAAATATATTTCTCCTGGAAATATAAATATGAATTACAAATATAATGATGATATTCTGAGATCTTAACAACAATAGAAGTAGTAGCAACCTTTAATGAGTCTAGTGTGTTTTAAAGATGTTTCTGTATACTACATAGAGTTTCAAAATTGATTGCTCCATAAAAATGATGGCTGAATTTATTTTATGAGACATAACAATATGAGATCACTCAGTAAGAATAACTCAGGGTTTTAAAGCAATTTAAAAACCAAAGGGAGACTATGATAAATAAGAAACAATTTTTCCAATTTTATTGAGAAATAAATCACCCCTATGTTTATAGCAGCACTATTTACAATAGCTAAGCTATGGGAACAACCCAAATGCCCAAGAAGATGTGGTACATATACACCACGGAATATTACTCAGCATTCAAAAAAGATAAATACATGCAATTTGCAGCAACATGGATGGAGCTGGAAGGGATCATGCTCAGCAAAATAAGCCAGAAAGAAAAAGAAAAAAATACCAGATGGTCTCACTCATAGCAGGAATCTAGAAAACCTAAATAAGGGACCAGGAAAAAGAATAGCTATAAGAAAGAAAAAATCAAATTCAACAAACAAATATGAACCAGAGACACACTATGGGGGTGGGGGCAGGAAAAGGAGGGAATGGGGTCAAAATAAGGGGGTTGCAATTATATGGGGAATATAAAAATAAAAAATTTAAAAAATTAAAAAAATAAAGAAACAGTTTTTAAGAATTGATGTTATGTATATGATGAATTTTTATAAGTTATGAACCACACCATAATCCATTTCTGCAGGAATTTTTCCAATGCCATCATTACATCCTTGTTTCTCAGACAATATATAATGGGGTTAAACAAAGGTGTAAAAATAGTATAAAAAAGGGAAAAGTATTTGTCCATTCCTGATGAGTGAGTGGAGTTAGGTCTCAAATACACAATGATGCTTGATCCAAAGAATAAAGTCACAACCATGAGATGGGAAGAACAAGTTGAGAAGGCCTTGGTTCTCCCAGTTGCTGATGGCAGCTTTAGGATGGTGGAGATTATTTTCACATAAGATACAAGTATCAACAAAAAGGGAATTGTGACAACTAATACAGCAATCACATAAGTCAACATTTCAATTACAAAGGTGTCCCCACAAACAAGTTGAACAACTGGAGGAACATCACAGAAAAAGTGATTCATCTGGTTATTTTCACAGAAGGGTAGAGTGAAGATCACGGAGGTGGACCCTATGTGTATTGGAATTGCTGTGGTCCAGCAGACAAGTGCCAGGTGAACACACAGCCTGTTGTTCATGATGACAGGGTAGAGTAATGGGTAGCAAATGGCAACATACCTGTCATAAGCCATGGCAGTGAGAATAAAGCACTCAGTGTCTGCCAATATCAGAAAGAAATACATTTGAAAAGCGCAGGCCAGAAAGGAAATATTTCCATATTGTCTCCAGAGATCTGCTGACAATCTGGGGAGAGTCACTGAAACATAACATATTTCCAAAAAGGAAAAATTCCTAAGGAAGAAATACATGGGGGTCTAAAGGGAAGGATCAACCTTAGTTATTGTTATAATGAGGCTATTTCCCATAAGAATAAATATATAGAGTATCAGAAATACACCAAAAAGTAATCCTTGAAGCTTGGGAAGATCAGAAAACCCAATCAGGATGAAGTCCACCAATGCAGTGTGGTTCCCCAGTGGGGAAGTTTGTCCTTTGTGTTCCATCTATAAACAAATGATTTCAAGGCTTAGAAGTCATTCAATCCTTTCTACCTGGCTAAACAGTAGGAAATTTAAATTAATTTAAAAATTAAGTCTTCTTAAAATTATTGTATAATGGTTAAAAATATAATGATTTAAAGTTAAATGAATGATTTATATCCATTGACACAGGATACATACCAGTTTCCTTGCTTCATGTATTTGATAATATATTTCAATACCAATATTTGAAAATTCCTGCATATAAAATCAGAAACCCTTTTCCTCTTGATCATATTTTTGATTAAGGATATATCAGAATTAAGTAAAGCAGAGAACAATAAACTCAGAGCAAATAATGTCTGGGAGCCTAGTCTCAAACAGTTCTAGGTAATCTGGAACCTTCTCTAAAAGAGAAATGTTTTCCTTCCTCATAAATTTGGTTTCTATTTGCTTTTTTCCCCTTCTACCTAGAACCTTTTAATTTGTTCTTTTTATTCTTGCATTCTTGCATTTCTCTTGTGAGTCACTCTCCGGCAGCCCTGGAACAAGGTGAGTCAGTGAGTCTTCACTGACTGGTCCACTTAAGCCCACCTGGCCACTCCCCAGGTACTTTTATTAGGAGTAATTTGTCTTAGCAAGCCCTATGTCCACATAAAGTCTATAATGTGGCATAATATAAGAATTTTGCATAATATATCATCGGTTCTATAATATTCCCTCAAATTTTAATAACTCTAAGTATATTGAAAATTTTAGATATCAAGAATAATGGGATAAAATTATCTCTTTAGGAAGTAATTCAGCTCAGAAAGGAAAAAAAAAGTTTAAGAAAATCTCATCAGTTAGTTCACACATGGCACCTATTAAAGGTAATGTCTGTTATTACATGCATATCCTCCTTCCGTCTCTAATATGAGGTCTCAATAGATATCATGTATTTATCTATTATCTAATTTTATCAAAACATAATATATAATGTATACAATGTTTAAATAATGTTATATGAATGTAATATAGACTGTGTATACTACACACTCTAGTTATCTGAATTTAGAAACAGAGTGAGAACTGCAGTGGAGGCTTAGTCATATGTGCTTCTTCAATAATTATGCATTTGTAGATCAAGTATGTACAGTCTGTCCTGTACTGAGATGAATGCTCCACCTCACTTTTGTTGGTTCCATGCAACCTTTGTACCACTCACTAATGCAAAACAAACACCTTTTTCACACATTGCCACATAGTGCTAAATCCACATCGTATGTGTTTGAAACTTATTCTGTTTCCTAAAAAAAAAAATAACTCATCTTAACTTCCTTTAAAATCCACCCTCCCATCTTCCCCTAAGACAACAAATTCTACTTACTACAGATAAATCCCAAACAAATGATAGAATTTATAATTTATAAATGTAGTTTCTTCTTTATCACTAATCTTAAACAGTTCACAGAAATCTGCAATCTGATTATACTTTTTCACAGTACACCCTAAAGAGAAAGCTCTCTATGGCTTCTCTGTGTTTATGACTCAAATATCGACAGGAGGAATCATAAACCTGGGCCTTTTTCGATTCAGTGATATGTTTGATGGTGAAATTGAGTGCACACCCCTGTTCTTCTCTTGCCATCTCTAACTTTGTTTCTTGGGTGTCACTTATTTTCTTTTCTTATCACCCAGCGTTAATTGTTTTCCCATTTTACATCTTCTCAACTTTCAAATTATATTGCTTCCCCTCTATATATTTGCTTTCTCATTCAGAAACTATACTGCAAAAGAGAATAAAATTTTCATGAACCCAAAAAGTTTCACATGTCTCACGCAGTAACCAAGATACAATATAGTTACATATACAATATACAATATAGTAATTACTGTATTTTTTACTACTAATAGTACATTGGTTGTATTCTATAACAAATTGGTTATTGTATAATCAACAAACATTATGGTAATGCATACAATATAGTAATTGCTATAGTTATTATGAATACTACGTAACCATACAATGCAAATTGTGTCAAGAGCTAGGCTATTTAAAATAATAAAGGGGAATAATATGAGTTCAGTCATGTCTTCACAAAGCTTATAGAGTGGTCACATCAGATGAGGAAGTCAGATGTCACCCTAGAAAGTGCAGTTTCTGTGTGGAAAGAGTTACCTGGTCTTGCTAGAGAGTCACCACATTCATAAGGAAGTGACATTACACTGAGATTTTTGTCAGATATGAGGGGATCACAGAATCATTCTGGTATTTTCACTTTTAAAAAAAGAGAATCAAAATTACTGCAGACAATATTGACCCTCATACCCTCATTCTGTTCCTTATTCCAAATGATTGTCCAGTGCTTACCTGTGTGAGTGGCTTATAAATATCAGCTAATGGGTCATTGGAAATGATTTCCCACTAATTTTAACAAGCACACCCTGGGTACTTACCACCACACTTAATATTTGTTACTGACCAAAGTATGTCATATGAAGTTACTTAAAATGAAAATTAGACACTTTACAAAAATAAACACTGATGTAAGAAAATATTAAAAAAAAAGAAAATTGGATATATTTTTGTAATCTGTCCTTACACTAAATATGGAGCTTTGTTATCCTTGTTGAAAATATACACAGTCATAGTAATATATAACTCAGGGAACTATTTTGAGAGTTAAGAGCATAATCTATTTAAATGTTTGGCTTAAAAGATGGAGTTATATTTCTAGTAGGTATTGGTATATGGTCATTTTCATACTTACTGATTTTTTTTTCTTTCATCTTGAAGTTTGCTCATCTTTTATCCAGTCATGGACTGGGCCTTTCTCAAACTAGCAGAGGAAAGAAAGAACAGGGTATTGATCTTACAGGAATACTAAGCTTAAAATTAGTAGACAGTTCTATGTTTTCTGGATACAAACCAAGAACAATATCTGGAAAAAAAAAGCTTTCTCTTATTTAGTTTTAATTTTAGCTTTCTGTCTAATTGGTACCAGTTTCTTGTATTTTGAGCACATAAAAAAATACACATTTATAGAAATGCAAATAAAATCATATTTAAAAGTCCAACTCAAATCTTATTTTATATATGAAGGCATATCCCAAGGAAACTTTGATTATTTTCTTTTCTGACTTGACATATTCTCTCCATTCATAACTATGGGTACATTGAGAGTTTCAACGTGGGAAGTTGAACTTTCCCATTACCATTTCTACTTTTAACATGAACTGACTTGACTAGGCAGTGTAGAGGGATCTGGTTAATAGAAACTTTTACTGTTATTAACAATTTTTGAACATTTGTTACCTGCCATTCATGGTGTTAATAACCTTACTTGTACTTTCTCATTTGTTACAATTTTAATAAAGAAGGTACCATTATTATTCACATTTTGCATAAAAAAACAAATGCATAGAAAGGTTAAAAAACTTGCCCAGTGGGTCTCCCCTGGTAGCGCAGCGGTTGAGCTCTGGGCTGCCTCTGGCAAGAGTCCCACATGGTGCAACAGACCTCTCCTGCCAGACCTGCTGCTCCCCTCAGCAGTGTATTTCATCGGTCTGCCTGTTCTGCTCCCCGCTCTGGCTCTGGTGAATCCTCTCACCCTCCTGCACTTCTGACTGTACTCAATGCTTGTATCAATTAATAAATAAATATTAAAAAAAAGAAAAAAAGAAAAAACTTGCCCAGTGTCAAAAATCTAGTACATGACCCAGATGACCTAACACTTAGTGGTGTGATGCCAACTCCACGTTTAATAAATAGGCTTCATAAATATGAAATAAGATATGATTTTTTAAATTAATGTCCTGAGAATATAAGTAAAACTTGTAATATAAATCTTCATTACACAAGTTGATTTCATACCAATTTTGCATCGTCCTCACCATTATTAAAATGAAAGATGGACTACATTTACAATATATAGTTTAAGATTTAGCTCATAAATGAATTTGATCACAAGAAAGGAAAGCATGTATTTTAATCTTTTGATTTGAGTTAAAAATACACTACAAAAAATATGCAGAAGTAAAATTATTGCTATTTACCTTATTCATATAATAGAGAAATCATGGTGTGGTCTTTTATAAAGAATACAATGCCATATCATATAAATTTCTGGTTTTAATTACTGAGTAATAAATTCAACTACTATTATTTTTTCTTGATCTCCTATTTTCTTAAATCAACATTTCACCTTAAGTAGGAAGCAACCTGCTACTCACTATGGGGACATTATTGCTTTAAGACTTGTTTTAAGATCAATAATCTGGTGGTAATTAGGAGATAACCATGTCTGTGTCTGGCTGGATTAGATGCACTGAAGTTTCTGTTTCTGGGGAATAAGGAGCATTAGTCCCTGCCCACTCCTCTGTATGGCTCCCCACCCTCTCATCTCTGGGTAGTAGAGGAAGTCTCCATGGGGAGAGGATGTAGAAGGAGTCCCCAGTGCTAACACTGGACTAGATCTATGTATGAAATCTGAGGATATTAAATTTCAAGTGATTGAAATATTTTGAGGTAAATGCCTTTACCTCAAAGAATATAACTTGGAAATTCCCTGGGACTCATACACCATTCCATTTGTTCTTAACACCCTTGATCACAAGAGGGATATAATTTATCTTTATATACATTTATCAATTTTACATTTTCATCACTATTATACATGTGAAAGATGGACTAGATTTACAGTATATATTTCAAGTTCAGAAGATTTAGTTCACAAATGAATTTGATCACAAGAAAGGAAAGTGTGTATGTTTAATCTTTGATTCTTGAGTTAAAATATACTATAATAATATAAGCAGAAGTAAAATAAGGAGTAAAATTTATGAAGAAAGCAAAATAATTTGCACAAGGGGATATAGTACACCTAGTCTCCAGTTATCTGTGTTAGAAGGCATGGGTGGGAAAATGAAGTTATGAGTTTTGAAACTAATAGTAAAGAAAAAGTAGAGCTAATTTTATTGTTGATATGAATTTTTGGTAAACTTTATAAAGAGAATGGAAATGTTTGGATTAAATAAAATAATGCATATAATTGGTGATTTATAGATGTAAATAGAGATATATTCCTAAAATGTGATTAAAACAACTTGCAAGAAGATAAAGCAATATATTAATATACCAAAATAAATTCTATTTCATATTTAAATTTTCTGTTTTTTTTTTTTTTTTTGATTGCTGGCATGTTTCCCTTGCATTCTGTCTGATGTGTGGTCTTTCCCCATGGTGACTCTTCAGTCTCCTCTCTATTTCTGGTGAAGTCCCTCTGCCCCACCATCTTGTGACCCCTGTCACTTTCCCTCCCTTCTCCTGCTTAAATTCTGAGCCCTCAGGGTGTTTATTGATTTTCCCCTTTTTTAAAATATTTTTCTTTATCAAATTGTCTGTTATTTAAATGTCCAGTATTTTTTTTTTTTATTTTATCATTTGACTTAACAGCTACACATTATTCTCTCAAATTATCTCCATTTGGTATCGGTGTTGATTAGGGATATTGGTTTGTGGTGTTCTTTTGTGAGGTCCTCACTGCTTTTGATGACTGAGTAATGTCCTCACAGAATGTGTTTGGGATCATTCTATCTTCCCCTACTTGGGGGAGGGGTTTAGAAGGCTAGGTGTTATTTTCTTATTGAACATGTAGAACTCACTAGTAAATCCATCTTGTCTTGGACTTCTGTTTTTTTTAATGCCATTTTTATTATTTTTTCAGGTTTTTTATGGCTTGTAATTGGCTGTTCAGGTTTTCTATTTCTTTTTGACTCATTCTCACAAGATTGTTGCTTCTATTAATTTGAACAGTTTTCCAGTTTGTTGGCAAAGAGGTATGCAGTGTGGTATCTTAGGATGCTTTATATTTCTGAAGTGTCCTTCATAAATTCTTTCATTGCTGATTCTATTTATCAGAGTTTTCTTTTACAGCATTATGGGGGCTAAAAATGCAGATCATGTAAAAGAGAAATGATGTGGAAAAACTGATGACCAAGGGGGGCTTTTAAATCTTACAACTTTAACATATAAATTAACTTTCTTAAATCCCTGTAGCTATTCTTTTATCAGTAAATCTTATAAATTCCCTTTAAAATTGGCAATTGAGTAAATTACCAATTTCATAAATTCCACTTTATGAAGCTAGTTGGAGGCAATAAAAACACATACACCCAGAGCTAACATTCAAATAGTTTAATATAAAAATTCTTTCTTCAGTTACTCAAATACTTCCCCTCCCCCACAACACTTATCATTTGTTACTTACATTTAAATCCTGTACATGAAAATTAAAAACAAGTTATTTAAGTTCATACTATAAAAGGAGAGGGAATGAAGTTGCATTCCAGAGGAAAACTGAATTCTGGAACTCAGTGACTGTGGTCCCTTTTTGCATATGGGAATTCATCTTAAGAGGATTAATTGAGGATTTACCAATAAAAACAGAGGGAATACCAATTTTTTTAGCATACTGATAACCTTAAGCTTGTTAAGATCTGATTCTTCTTTTCTTTATAAAACTTCAAATGATATAATGGAAATATTGATGGGAAGAAAATAAAACATCAATAGTTACATCAAGCCATTTGTCATTCTTTCAGACCAACAGATTTAATTAGATGTCTATTACTTTGCAGATATACAATGATTCTGGAGATATATAGATGAATCATGTTTTTGTAAAAAGAGAATGAAGAAAATATCTGAAATATTTTAAATGGCCCAAGCAATCTTTAATGATTTCATTGTGTTCCATCAGATATCTCTACACTTTGGTTTAAGTTTGGGAATAATTTAGTCTATGAAAATAACTGCTTTATTCATTTTATGAGACATAAGAATATGAGATCACTCTTTAGAATAATTCATTTTCTTAAAATAATTGAAGAAAAACCAAAGGGAGACTGTGACAAATAGGAAACCAATTTTTAAGAAGTTATGCTTTTGAGTCATAACACAATCCATTTCTGTAGGAATTTTCCCAAAGCCACCATAACATCTTTGTTTCTCAGACAATATATAATGGGGTTAAATGTGGGTATCAAAATGGTATAAAAAAGAGAAAAGAACTTGTCCATTCCTGTTGAGTGAGTAGATTGGTTTCATATACACAATGATGCCTGATCCAAAGAATAAAGTCACAATCATGAGATGGGAAGAACAAGTTGAGGAGGCCTTGGCTCTCCCAGTTGCGGATGGCAGCTTCAGGATGGTGGAGACTATTTTTACATAAGATCTAAGTATCAATGCAAAAGGCACAGTGACAACAAATGCAGCAATCATATAAATCAACATCTGAAACATTAACGTGTTTCCACAAGCAAGCTGAACAACTGGAGGGACATCACAGAAAAAGTGATTCAACTGGTTAGATCCACAGAAGGGTGTTGTGAAGAGTGCAGAAGTGAAACCTGTATACACTGGAATTGAAGTGGTCCAGCAGACAGCTGTCAGTTGGATACACAGCCTGTTGTTCATGATGACAGGGTAGAGTAATGGATTGCAAATAGCAACATACCCGTCATAAGCCATGGCAGTGAGGATAAAGCACTCAGTGGCTCCCAAGATCAGGAAGAAATACATTTGAATCGCACAGGCCAGAAAGGAAATTTTTCTATTTTGTCCACAGAGATCTGTTAATAAACTGGGGAGAGTAACTGACACATAACATATTTCCAAAAAGGAAAAATTCCCAAGAAAAAAGTACATGGGGGTCTGCAGTGAAGGATCAACCTTAGTTATTATGATAATGAGGCTATTTCCCATAAGAATAATAATATAGATTATTAGAAATATAGCAAAAAGTAATCCTTGAAGTTTGGGAAGATCAGAAAACCCAACCAGCATGAATTCCACCAAAGTAGTGTGATTGCCCTGTGGGGAATTTTGTCCTGCAAATTCCATTTATGGACAAAATGATTTCATAACTTGGAAGTCAGTTCATTCCTTTGGTCCTAGCTGAAAAGTGGGACATACTAAATCAATGATTTCAAACCCACTGATGCAGAAGAGATATCCAGTTTTCTTGATTGCTTGTTTTGTATTTTGCTAATATATTTCAAATCCAGGATAAAAACAGAAAGTGTATTCCTCCTGCTCTTATTAAGGATTAAGGATATGAGTAACAAGACAAAGCAGACGACAGTAAAAAGGGGGGAAAAAGAGCAAACATGTCAGGGAGCCTGTTCTCAAACAGCTCTAGGTAAAATGTAATCTTCTCTAATAGGAAATTTTCCTCCTGCCTGATTAATGTGGTCTCTAATCACCTATATCTGAATTTATAAATGCAGTACTAAAGGCAATATAGACTTAACTTAATCAGCTCCTTCAATACCTAAACATTTTTAAATTAATCATGTTCAGTATTTTCCACACTCTGCTGAACCCTAGACCTTTTGTTGTTTCCATCCAGTCTTTATATTATCCATCAGTGTGAAACGGTGACTTTACTCACAATTTGTCACTACGTCCCAAATTTCATTGTCATAGATTGGAACTTTCTTTATTTTCCAGACCAATTTCATCTTAAATGCCTATAGAATATTATTTCCGTTTTTTGTCTAAGATACCAATTTCCTCTTCCCACCCATAAACCCATACCGATGAAATAAATTTATTATTTCTAGGCTTTGTTTCTAGTTGTCTTGGTTTCTCTAGTGTCCTTTATTTTTTTCCTTTTTTCACAATGTTATTATAAATTTTACATCTTCTCAAACTTCACAGATTTATATCATCTTCCCTACATGTATTTTTTTAAAGATTTATTTATGCATGTAAGAACTGGGGTGTAGGTCAAAGGTGTAGCGGGTAAGAGGGTTCACCAGAGACAGAGTGGGGAACAGAACAGAAAGATCTACTGAAATACACTGCTGAGGTGAGCAGCAGGAGAGACAGGAGAGATCTGCTGTGCCATGTGGGTTGCTCCCTGGCTGGCCTGGGATTGAACTCGTGCCACAGTGGTGACAGCTTGATAGCAGTGAGACTTTAACCTCTGTACAAACAGGGAAGCCCCCTACATGTATGTAGTTTTTTTTTTTTTTATTTTAGAGCAAAAGAATTGAATTCTTAGTGACCTAGATTCATTTGATAAATGAATCAGGCAGTCAACCTATATTTTAAAGTATATATTGTAGTTTATTATGGATAACTACTACATGCATGTTAAATACAATGTGCTAGGATAATGATAATAATAATGGTGAATTATATGAGTTCAGCTATGTCTTCACAGAGTTCATAGACCAGTGGTCAAGTCAGACAGTGAAGTCAGATGTTACCCTAGAGAGTGCAGTTCTGAGTGGTGACAGTTACCTAGCCTTACAGGAGGGCCACATTCTTAAATAAATCACATCACTCTAAGATTTTTTCAGATGTCAGAATCATTCTGGTATTTTCACTAGGAAAAAAAGAGAATAAATACCATTTCAGAAAATCCTGGCCCTCATATACTCATTCAGTTCTGTATTCCAGAAGACCGACCAGGACCTCCCCGGTGGTGCAGCGGGTTGAACGTAGCACTGTGAAGCTGTCAGCAACCTCTGCAGCACCGGTTTGATTCCTGGCCGGCCAGGAAGCTACCCACAGGGCACTGCAGACCTCTCTTGCTTCACCCACTGCTCCCCTCAGCAGTGTTTTCGGTCCATCTGCCTGTTCTGCTCCCCGCTCTGTCTCTGGTGAATCTTCTCACCCTCCCGCACTTGTGGCCTGTACCCCAGTTCTTGTATAAATAAATAAATCTTAAAAAAAAAAGACTGACCAGTGTTTACCTGTGTGAGTGGTTTATAAGTGCCTGCTAGTGGGCGAGTTGAAATGATTTCCTCTTATCTCAACAATCCCGCCCTAGGTAACTGAAGAACTTACTGACAAAAGGGATTGATATTGAATGATTTAAGACAAAACTTATATATAGTCTGGTAAAAGGTCCCTATTGAAATTATCAGAGGTTTATTTTCCTTACTTGAAAATATACACTGTAATGGTCATTATAACTCAGGGAGATGTTTGGAGAGGTAAGTAGCATATCTTACTTAACAGGTTAGTATAAAAGATGCATTTGTACACACTTCCCTGTTGTGTTCTCATCCCTTCTTTTACCCCTCCCCTCCCCTCCTCTTTCTCTTTTTGGTTGTGTTTTGTTTATGCAACTATGTGTCTTCTCCATTTCCCCAAACAAAACATCTCATTAGGAATCCTGACATGAAACTTCTGCATGTGAGAAAAGTATGAGTCTATTTACAGGAAGAAACAGCAATAATGGGACTTCCGCTTCAGTCTTTTCTGTTATAATACATCTTCCATAGATGGGAGGGTTTTGTGTAAAAGGAATTCCCTGAATGGATGCTTTCACATCACTGATAAGGTTTTCTTCCTCCTTTTCTGATTTGCTAGCCTCCCTCTGGCTATGGATGAAAGTACCCTGGAAAAGGCAGGAGTTGTAAGAGCCTCTAGCAGCTTCTGGGCCTGGAAATCTGTGGTCTGTTTATTCACTGTCCCTACCTTTCCATGTACGACCTTGGTTTTATTACCCTCTCCCACATTTTCAGACTAGTAAAAGATCAATAATTTACTGGCCAAAAAATAAATAATGATGCATTTGTAGTTCTATTAGGCACTGTTGTATGATCATCATCATAATTATTGTATTTATCATTATTGTTTTAACTTACGTTATTTCTCTTTCATCTTAAAGTTTGCACATCTTTTATCCAGTCATGTTGCAGAATTTCCAACTCAAGCAAAGGAAAAAATGTACCTATGGAAAAAATAACCGTAACTTATTACGCTTTTCCCCCCCCTCTCATTTGGACCATTTTCTTGTACTTCGAGCACATGAGAAAAGAAGGTATTTCTAAACTTGATCATCTCTTCATTAACAATTAGAGGCACACTGGAAGTTTTAACATGGGAAGTTGAATTTCCCCTTTGCATTTTTCTATTTTAACAAGAACTGGCCTGATTATATGCAATGTAGAGATCTCTGGTTATTTTATTTTATTATTTTTTTTTTACTAATAACCATTATTGAAATCTTATTATATGTGTTCTTTGGAATTGATGTTTCTGTGTCCTTTGGGTAAATACCTAGGAGTGGAATTGCTGGATCATATGGAAGCTCTATGTTTAGTAGGTCCAGAAATCTCCACATAGCTCTCCACAGTGGTTGGACCAGTTTGCACTCCCACCAACAGTGCAGAAGAGTTCCTTTTTCTCCACACCCTCGCCAGCATTTGTTGTTGCAATTCCAAAGAACACCTGCACCCCTATGTTTATAGCAGCACTGTTTACAATAGCTAAGCTTTGGAAACAACCCAAATGCCCAAAAATAGATGACTGGATCAAGAAGATGTGGTACATATATACCATGGAATATTACTCAGCATTCAAAAAAGATAAACACATGCAATTTGCAGCAACATGGATGGCGCTGGAAGGGATCATGCTCAGCGAAATAAGCCAAAGAGAAAAAGAAAAATACCGGATGGTCTCACTCATAGCAGGAATCTAGAAAACTTAAATAAGGGACCAGGAAAATGAATAACTATAAGAAAGTGAAAATCAAAATCAACAAAAAACTATGAACCAGAGACACTTTTAGGGGGGGGGGCGGGAGGGGAGGGATTGGGGTCAGAATGGGGGGGCTGCAATTGTATGGGGAATATAACAATAAAATTTATAAAAAAAAAAAAGAAATCTTATTATATGCTATTCACATGGTTTATAAACTTAGCCAGATTTTCTCATTTATTGCATTCTGAATAAGGCTGCTAGTGTTAGTATTCATGTTTTGCATGAAGATCCATATGTACAGAGAGGTTAAATAACCTGCCCAGTGTCACAAAGCTGGTGTCTGACCCAGGAGATTTAACGCTCAGCAGTGTAATGATGACTCTACATTCTTAATCAAAACTCATGGTTTTCTTCAATGAGAAATGGATTTTGAATGTAGTATGATGAAAAAAAAAGTAAAACTAAGTAATATAAAATTTCACAACAACAAACTGTTTTCATGTACATTTTGTATCTTCGTTACTGTTATAAAAATGAAAGACTGATTAAATTAATGCTATATTTCAAGTTCAGAAGATTTATCTCACCAATACATTTATTTGAAGGAGAGAAAAGTGTGTATTTTTAATGTCTTTTGATTCTTGAGTTCAAAAATACACTATAATAAATAAGCAGGGTAAAATATTCACTGCTTACCTTTTTCATATTATGGAGAAATCAGTGTTGCTTTTTTTATAAAGAATAGGGTGTCATGTCATATAAGTTTCTGGTTTTAATTATTTGCAATAAATACAAAGTATTATTATTCTTCCTTGAACTCATTCTTCACTTAAATTCAGTGTGCTTTAGGTAGGAAATAGTCCTTTATTCAGTGTGGGGACAGTGTAGTTCTGTTAGGGGGAAAGGATGTCCTGCACTAATCCCATACAGGCTTTGTGGACCCCACCCCCACTCCAGACCAAAGCCATCAGGACATTGGGAAAGACAAATCCTGTCACCACCAAAGGGAAGGTGGCTGGGACCTGAGGGTGGAGTTAAGCAACCAGGTTGGGTATAAAAAACAAACACGTGGGTCTTGGAGGGACTTGCTCTCTCACTGGCCTCCTGGCTTCACGGCCCCTGGCTCACTCCAGCTCTCAGAGTGCCATTTGGGATTCCAGATTGGCGGATAGGGTAGGATGCATTTAAAACTTTGTCTCGAGCAACATGGCGGCGAGGAGACGCTGCGAGTAAGATCTCCCATTAAAAAAAGTTAATAGGGAGGAAAAGCGGCAGGTCCCCGTGAGAAGTGGGACACGGAAGATAAACGGGTGACTCCAGCAAACTGCCTGAAGAAGAAAGTGGCCATAAAAGAGGACTAGAAGGGAGGGAAGCGCAGAACCCTACTCCCCTCCCCC